CTGCGAAAGCGCTGGGCAAAAGACCGGCTCGTGCGCCGCCCGAAAGGACGCCTGGCGGGTTCGATCCGGACGATATTTTCTTTGAGCGCACGGATTCGGGGTTGGGGACGAGGACGCCGACTGTGGAGATGGCGGAGAGCGAGGATGAGTTGGGGTTGGAGGGCGAGGGTGAGAGGGCGCATGTGCATTATGCGTATGATGCGGTTGCGGAGAGGACGCAGGCGATGTTGGAGGCTATGCATTTGCAGAAGGGCGAGGGGCAGGCGCAAGGACAAGGTGGTGCGAGGGGGTCGGTGCCGATGGGGGTGCATTAGATGCTGGTGGAACGCGTGCTGTGTGGCGCGATGGGGAGGAACGGTTGGGTCTTTTCGAATGATGATCTGTGGATGGAAGTACACATTATTTATTTGACTGGTTGTCGCATCTATCGTCCGTTTGTGCTTTGCGTGCTGGCTTGGATTCAGATACATATCTTCATCTCGACGGGGCTGCGCTTGATTGGCAAGTTGATATTCTACCCGCTGCGAAGAGAAGGTAGGTACATTTGATAGAGGCAATAATGAATTCGCAGATCGTTTGTTGTATCGAACAAGGAGAATATGGAGATGAAGTCGGCATTCTGGTTCTGCAAACGCGTTCTGAGATGCTTAGATGACCAAACTTCGACCCACCACCCCTCCGCTGTTCTGCCTGTCGTTGATGGTCACTTTGAGTAGGAAGGCGGCGAGGACACCACGCACGAAGAGTCCGATCCTTCCATTCATTCATTGCTCATGCCATACAACGTTCGGTACGAGCGGTTCGAGCGTCTCGGCCTCTTCGGCGCCCTCCGCGTTCAGTGCTGGCTTCGCCATGCCGACATGAATCGTATGCAGTCGGTTTTCCGGAGCTGCTCCTCGTGTCCGGAGTACGCCGCAAAGCGGTTCGAAGTCGAAGTCGCCGAGGATCACGAGCGACCCTACCCAGAGCTCCTCGAGACTCGGAAAGAGTAGGGCATCGTCGATTGTATGGGCCAGATAGCTGGGGAGCCCGAGCAGACGTGGACGTTTCTTGCCGTGGCCATGAAGGTAGAGCACGCGAGTGCGACCGTAGAGAGCGTTGAATGCTCTGAGATGCGCTTCTCGTACTAATCCGCTATTGTCACCCAAACCCGACAACGACTTCACTCTGATGTCGGGAATTTCTCGCAGGTATTGTAGGTGCACCGCATTGACTGATAGTTTGATTGGCAGTTTGACTTGAACTTGCCAGGCGATGGGCTGTTGAAGTAGTTTCAACGAAAGCGGGCGGGGCATGTGGTTGAAAGTGATGTGCATCGCGCTGGGGTAGAGGAATACGGACACGCCGTTCTGCCATTCTGACTCGAAGATTCGCGAGATCTGTAGCATGACCGCAGTGAAGGTATCGCGGACGCTAGCAAACCCAGTATCTCCGCCTATCGACCGTAATAGTATATCCATGTGCGTCGTTTTAGAGAAGTGCAAGAGTTCAAGAAACCGCGAAGCAAGATCATGTGTCGTAAGGTCAGACCCTTTCGTAGCAGCCCTCATTAGCGTAAGGGACTTCAGTCGTGAAAGCGACACGCCTGGTAAAGTTGTGGAAACCTCCGAAACGCGGGCGACAGGTAGGGAGGAGTTGAAGACGCAATTCCGAATCGCGAGAGTCTCGAGGATAGGAAGCTGGGATAGGCTGTACAGCAGATCGTCCAGATCCACCTCTGTATCTCCTATGCCTTGAAGATACAAAGCACGGAAAGCTGGGCCAATCAATATATGGGCGGGGAGCTTTAATATATCCGACCCGCGAGTTGCATCGGGAAGCTGATGTGGGGGGAGCTCGTCATCCTCAATGCCAGGTAATGGCCAAAGCTCATGGGCACCGCGACAACTATCCCTCCATTTACGGCACACCTGCGTCACAACCAACCAACCAAATACGACCGTTCTGCGGAACCGGGCATCTTTGGCGTCTTTGAGAGATATCTTGGGCGGGTCTTCGGTGGCAAGATGTCCGATGATACGGAGGAAGACCTCGGGCGGTAGGGAACAGGCAGGAAGATAAGCATTCGTAGATGCGTCGAGATCCATGAGTTGAATACGATTGAGGGTAAGATGGGCGTTCAGAGCAAGCCGCGAAAACCTCCCAGGCATGCGCTATCCCGCGCGTCCTCTCAGTCAAAGCCGATAATGCTACTTCCCAAACCATCGTCCTCAAGGCACAAATGTAGGATCATGAATCTGCAAGTTCATCGACGTCTAGATAGCACCGCCTACCGGCACGCCCCACTTCGTTGGACAGTTCATCATACACTGGCAACCCACCATCATGGTGCGCATCAACACCTCCGCCCGCTCTATTTTCGGCTTTTCGTCACGGAGGTTGCTTACACCAGCCTGCGTCTCTGGCTTATACAATTCCCTTGAACGTGTTGCCACTTCACGAATCGTACAGACGAGCAAACGCCTCCCAACAATAAAGATACGCTATGACACACGCGCAATCCTACTGGTATCGCAGCCGCTTATGTCCATACATCCCAGCCCGTGAGTCCGTCGGAGACAGCCCTCTCACATGGTGCAAATGATGCTGATAAGCCCAATGCCGATCGAGAGTACGGAGATGAAGTACACGACGGTTGCGCCAGTGCTGAGGTGCTGAGCGACGGGACCGTCCCAGCTGTCGGGAAGAACAAGTGCGACGGAGGTCGCGGGTACCGTGATCTTTGAAGCGTTGCATGCATTAACGTACGCTAATGAAGAACGTAGAAGTCAGCGGTTGCTATCTCGGGGAGCGCGGGAACCGAAAGAGTGGGTGGTTGGCAAGGGCTAGCGGGAGCGCCGCACGTCATGCACCGAACATAGGAACACAGGGAAGAGTCCGCCACTGAAATAGAGAAGGATATAGACGGTAAGACGCGTACCAGTTTGGGCGTCAGTTTGGCCGTTGAGCGCGTTGGGGTACTTGCGGTTGTCGGCGATCAGCCACGTGAAGTAGCACTGCTGGCAGGCTGTGGCCTTAGACACGGTGTCGGCGTCGCAAAGGCAGGTGTCGTCGTTGTTGCAAGCCTGTGATACATCAAGTCAGCCTCCAATGGGAATGCGGGTATCATGGTGATAGCGGGAATAGTAGGCGCGCATGGATGAAAGGGACACACAGCAATGGCATCGACGCCGGGCTTGCACATGTCCTCGCAGACATCGTTCAGACGGGTATCGGTCGTGGTCAGGTAGCTGTCCGCGGTGATGTTTCCGATATCCTTGCCGACGGCGATTTCGAGTGCGAAAGCTGCAGATGAATCAGTATTTGGGTTCAATTGAGGAAGCGTATGAGGTAGGGTAGACAGTAGCGAGATCGTCGCCGTGGAATAGAGGGAGTGGCCAGAAACATGATACGTACCCCGACCAGCGAGCAGAGCGATGGCAAAGAAAGCGTTAGCGACGGCGAAGGTGGCGCGCATAATGTCAAGCGAAAGTGTGGTTTAAGATAAAGCAAGGGTAATTAGAAGAGTAAGAAAAGGGTGACAGAACGCCTCGCAGAGGATCGCCTGGGTCGAACGTGAAGGTAAGAGTGAAGTTGGGAGGACGTGAGCGACGGGGAAACGCGCCGCCATCCGCGTCGCTCGTTTTAGGGCGCACGGCCACGTGCGGGGCAGTACGCTCCTGCTTGATCGCAGAGATTTCCTGTGCCATCCAGAGCGCGTTCGAGCCGTCAGATGCCGTTCTGCGACTGACAGAGGACCCTGCGCTTTCCTAACATGGCGCTGCGTCCTGGCGCCCGACAACGGCAGTGATGGGCATATTCATAGACCGTGTTCGGGCACATCAAGTCGGGAGTGCCACAGCTTTCTTGCAATGTTTGTCATGGCTGAGCTCTCGCAGATGGCAACTTATCTATTTCATCTTTCGAACAGCAGCCAGCCCAAAGAGTACCGTGGTCGACGCTTGTGCGCGGTGACTGCAGCTCGCAACCGAGCCGCTCGACTCCCACGCATCTTGCCTCTTGCCATCGTGTTCGTCCGAGTCGTTGAGCGCGGGGCACTGGTGGGGCACTCAGGTATCTACCACTTGGCAATATAGACCGCATGCAGATGCTATTGCTTCATACTGGGCGACTGTTGCTCCTCTTGGAAGCTCGTACTTCATGAACTGTATCGCCGGCGAGGCCGACGGGTGTCTTCATCCAAACGTTAGAACGACCGCACGAAAGAGCTTACCTTCGTCAACTCATGTGGAGACTAACCACGCCCAAAAGTCTGGTAGGGCGTGAATCAGCTGTCATATTGACTGTGGCTTGATTATTTGAATCATCATGCATCATGCGCGAACACCGTGGCGAGCGCATGCGTGTTCGACTTCGTCTATGCGGTGGGTCAGTCCAGATTCCTTGGCTTGGCTCGTACTGATGTATGTGGTAGCATCACATACACTCTTTGGGACTGTCGCGACCTATCGTTAGAGCTCAGAGTCAACTCTCTCTGCTCAAAAGTATGCAAGAAGGCGCGACGCGGTCAACTGACATCATCTTACAAACAGTTGCCTTTCGCGTTCAACATGTCAGAGCTGTCCCGTGCCCGTTCCATTCTCCATGACATATCGGGACCAGTGAAAAGTTTGCGTATGGATTCGATGCAACGATCGCATCGGCACGAATGCGAGGCCGCATGTGCATACGTGAGTTGAATTATCGGTATCCCTAAGCACCTGCCTTACACCTCGATCCCTCATACCCAGCCCTCGCATTTTAATAATGTTCTACGCTCGCTCTGCCGTTCGTGCCTCTGGCACTCCAATTATTGGCGTTCTGCCCCCTGTCACCAAAGTTTCCAAGCGCCTTTCCAAGCGCACCGGCATCTCTTCTGGCAGTTTCTCTCCCGCTATCGACGTCGCCGTTGCCGCCCCAAAGACGCCCGCTGTCGACTTAGCACATGGCGCCAACGGTGCTGTTACCTCAGCGCCGGCTCCTGTGGTCCCAGCTCCTCTTCCCGCTCCTGCTTCGTCCATTGCCTCTCGCTTGCGCAAGTTCGCCGGGATCCCGACTGCGCCAGTGGACACGCCGGTGCCGGTGCGCAATCTTCATAGCGCTCGCCCTCCCTCGGCCGTCTTCGATGCTCTCAGCTCTACGTACAAGGTGGAGCTGACTAAGAAGGAAGTGGAGATCGCTCAGTTGCGCGAGGAGCTCGAGCGTGCGCGCCGGGAGTCAGTGCGCAAGGACGCGCACATTGCTCATCTGAGCAAAGTGGTCACTCTCAAGGACCGCACGATCAGTGACGAGCGGGCTCACACGCGCAAGGCGATTGAGAACCGCGACATGGAGATCTCTCTCTTGCGCAAACAACGTTCCAGATCTTGGGTGAACACGATACCTGTCGACGTTACGTCGCCCGCCCCCGGAGAGTCCTCTAGCCAGGCCTTGTCCCATTCAGGTCTGCGCGAGTCCGCTTCATCTCAAACATCCGTCCCTGCTGTTCCGGTCGCCTCTTTCGTGAAGGCCCCGTCACGGCGCGCATTGCTAGTTGGTATGGCCGGCGGGTCCAGCGACCGGCCATTGCCCAGTTCTCTGCGCGACCTTAGGCTACCGAAGGCTGCCGCAGAGCCTTCGTCTTCGCGGATCGCTACCCTCGAGCTCCGAGTTCAGCACGAACAGGATGGTAGGCGAGCTGTTGAGACCGCGCTTCACGCCCAAAGGCGCGAACACGCTATTCAGCTCCAGGCCCAGGATACCGCGCATTGCCGCGAGGCCGAGGCTGCCGAGGCCCTGCTCGCGTCTTATGTGGAGGAGAACACTCGTCGTCGGCGCGTTTTGAGGTTCGTTTGCTTCTCTATTCGCTCATGTGTTATGTTCACGCATTCGCTTCGCTCTCAGGTCTGTTCGCATGGCCCAATGTCAAGCACTACCGCAGCCTCCTCCACCCGCCGCCAGGTTCATTTGGTGGTCTAACCGCGCCCGCTTCTTGCGCATCGCATACCGCACATTAGCAAGCTCGCTCGCAAGATTGGCGCTGGTACCCAGGTCGTCTAGGAATATGTTCCGGGGATTGCTTGGGCCAGCGTAAGGCTCGCGCAGTGGCTTGGACGCGGTCACGCAGCTTTGCCTGCACTTTGTGCTCTGACGCGGATTGTCTCGTGGCTCGATTTGTGTTCTGTGGCTTCGTTTCGGTCTCGTTCGTCATGTAACTTTCCCATACCTACTATGCGTCGGCCAGCTCTCCCCATACCGACATACCTTACCCATACCCAACACCTACGCGCCTTGATTATACTAACTACGTCTCAGCTATTCGTCCATGGCCTTCAAGCTCAATATGTCTTGCGCCTTCGTCTCGGTCATTCGCTGTGCTCATCGTCTTTCAGACTCGACCCCGCCTCCGCCCCACCATCAAGCCGCTCAAGACAACATCCGCTCTACTTCAACACTTCGCGGCCATCTTTGCCACCATGTGCGACGTTTAACGGCCTTTTGCCAATTTCGCCGCCACCTTCGCCGACGTCCGCCTTCAAAGCTCGACACTCTGCAAGTCTCGACCTTCAACAAGCGTGTATGCCTCCCCGGATTCAGGTCTGTCTGTCGCTTTCAACCACTGCCCCCTTCCCCCACTTTTGCACGCTCGGCTACAATCCTATACTGCCTTCAGCCCTATGCGCGCATCTGGGGGCCTCTGAGCTCGCGCGGGAGGGTGCTGGGGTAGCTGTGGATCGGTGCTGTAGCCCCTTTTGTTGTCTCCCTTGTCATACTAATTCGCCCTTGCAACTGCGAGTCTGTTATGTGGTATGAAGCGTGTCTAAAGGTATAGGGGAGCCGTACTACTATTTCGGTATAACTGATATCGGGCGGGTAGCCGCTTCGACGTTGCGCTAACCCTAACCCTAATCTAAAATATTTTTGCCCGTACGGTCTCCCTACCCGTGCCATTCGAACTGCAGATACCGCAGAATTATGCCCATAACTTTTTGAAACGTTTGATTGAGTGGTTAGCGTGTAGAAATCTAAACAGTGAAATTAGATGTGGTTTGGCTGACTCGGATGGGCGGACGACGTGAGCGGGGAGGTTCAAGGTGTGTACGGAATTGGTATGGTTATTTCAGACACATATATTTGTGCAGTGTCAAGTAAGTCCAGGTAAGGGTAATCGTACAGTGATATAACGCTATTCTGCATTGTCTACAAATGACCGTCCCAGCCAGTTCCACCGCTCCTTTCAGTATGTGCTCCAGCGCCCGAGCGCCTTTGGCCTTTGCTTGGGCGAGCATCTCATCCTCCACCTCCACATTCCCCCGAGATCACGCAAGAAGTATCGCTGCGAGTGGGCGGACTGGGCGCGTACGTGGTGGACTAACACGCCTGAAGCAATGATGGCAGCGCGAGGGTTGAGCGTTCCGTTCGTTTTGGGGGCCACGGGGCAGAAAGCTAGCGCTTTGCTAGGTGTTGAGATCAATTCCACGTATGGGTTTAAATTTGAGTGGACTGTGTGTTGTGTAGAGGAACGCGGCTCAGGCTCTGAAGCTTCTAGGAGAGCGGACGCGTTAGCCATGGTGGTGGACTCTCGTGGGTGCGCCTATTATTAATGGGCGCGAAGCCGGGCCGGCCGGCTCCCGCGCATCTTGCGTCTTGCCGTCGTGCACAGGGAGCTCAAGGACCCCTTGTTAGAGGCCCCCTCTACACTATAGATGCCGCTGCACCAGACTGCCACGCTCTGGTGAAATCATCTAAGCAGCATTCTCTTCGTGGACTGGCGCCGGCGGGACAATGCGCGCGTTCCGCCCCAATGATGTGGGAAGCATCGTGCTGTTCCTTGAAGTTCACAATTACACACTACACTCATGCAGAAGCGATTTCTATACAAGAGATACCGGATAGCCGAATCGTAGATCATACACATACGGACCATCCCCAATGAAAGACGACAGCAATACACTCGCGTTCAGCCTGATGCGGGACTCTCAAGTTGAGGGCCCGGTTGCACCACTCCCACTTCCCGAAGCTGCATGGTTGCCGTTCTGGTCACTTTGAGTTGTTCCGGGCTGCGAACCATTCATCTGGTTGAGGATTGTGCTCAACTGCTGTGCCATTTCCGGCGAAATTGCGCCTTGCCCGCTATTGGCGGCTTGCATCAGAGTTGCCATAGCTGCGCGCACTTCTGCGCCCCCCACCGCAGGTCCTGGCTGTACCGTAGGCGCTGGTACAGGTGCAGGTGCGGGTGATGCAGCTGGTTGCTGTATAGGGCGGAAGTTGTGGTGACGGGCTACGAGTCGTGGACCATTGACAGGTGGGCGACCGAATAGAGGTGCTGTTGTAACGCGACTGCTACCTTGCCCAGAAGTGTTGCCACGATACTGAGCGTACCGTGCTGCGACGGGGGTCTTCCCAGTCGCCTCCCTTTCCTTGAACAAGACGGCTACAGCTGCCTCGAGAGCTGGTGCGGTGAACTCAAACGTTGCGAGGGTAGGAACCTCGCCCGTCCAGGCGTGTTGGGCGTAGATCACATCGTATGGGGCACATGTACTGATCACGAACATCTTCTCTCCTCCATGTTGAGAGAACAGGTCTTCAAGTACGGTCTTCTGCCACGCTGCGCCTCCTCGATGCGCGTCGCGAGTGATGTAGACGATCCTATCCACGTCCTTGGCTTTCACCATGGCCTCGTTGTTTGGGTTCTGCGAATCGTCAAAGCTGAGAACGACATGGGTCAATGCGCCGCCGTCTGGGATCAAACGCGCGCGCATCGCGGCGGCAAGTGCGAGGAATGATGCGCCAGCGGTATTGCGCAGACGCCCTTCGGGTGTTCGAAGTACACCCTCAGCGTCATCGACGGCGAGGTTCAAAGACTGCGGAGTGGGAGTGACGAGGAGGACTTTGTCCGAGGGCTTGAGCCCCTGTTTGAGGCCATCGTGAGGATCGCCGATGACTGCTGTCGTCAATGCGTACGCGCGCTTTGCGAGTGCAGCGCTTAATGACTTCTGGTCGGCCCAGCGTGCATCCCAGCCATCGTCCACGTCCATTGCATCGTAGGCTGGCGGAAGGTCTGACCCTGTAGGCAGTACATCTGCCCATGTACCGGCGAAGCGGTCCTTCAGAGCTGCAATCCGCTTCCTGGAGGCGCGAAGGGCGTCCATGTCTAGTGTTCCGTCCGCTACGGCCTTGTACGTTGCCTCGAGGGAGCCAATGTGTAACTCGTTCGTATGGCAGATCATCACGATGTCGGCTCCGGCTTGCAGAGCTTCAACTGCGCCGCGCGGAACGCCACCTTCGCGCGCTGCCACGGCTGCCATCTCGAGACAGTCGGTGACTATTACACCGTCGTACTCAAGCTCGTCGCGGAGAAGACTCGTCACCCGTTTGGACAGACTCGCAGGGACACCCTCTTCCATGCCATCCAATGCGGGTAGTGCAATGTGGCCGGTCATGATGCTTGGAGCGGAGAGGCTGGCTGCGAAGGGTACAAGTTCAACGGCCTTGAGGTCATCTATGTCTCGAGCGATAACGGGGAGATCGAGGTGCGAATCGGTCGCGGTGGCACCGTGGCCTGGGAAGTGCTTCAGAGACGCTGCAACACCCCCGGCGCTAAGACCGCGAGTGGCGTAGAATACGTGCTGTCCGACGGACTTTGGCTCTGTCATACGTAGCATCAGCAGCTTACAGCGTTCTTGTAGACTGGGTCTTACGATCTCCGAAAGAGCGTGCGCCGATGACTGGGTTTTGAGGGTCGCTGTTGATGTCGGCTACCGGGCTAAAGGCCCAGTTGATCCCGACGAGCTTCAACTCTTCCGCGCAAGCACGGTACACTTCTTCTGTGATGTTTGTCTCGCCGGTAGCAGCAAGTGCCATCGCTCCGGGACTGCAATAAGATGTGAGATTGGGTCCATTGAATAGGTGACATAGTATTACTGACAACTGTGTTCCCGCCGCATCGCTACCTGCCACGCTGAAAGCAGATACTAGACCTAGCAATGTCATGAGTTATGGCCTAAAAGAGTATGAGTAAATGTATTCACCGTTCTCCTGGTCTATACCGATCATGAGTGGCCGCTCGTGGCCGGCTTCCTTCGCAATCTGCTGCAACATCCTCACAACTCGACGCGTTTGTGCCGCATCTGCGAGAGCATCGTCAGCAAGATAGCTCAGTGGAAGAGGGCACTACGCGCCTTTGATGTTACGCTTCATGAGGATCACATTGTTGAGATAGCCGTGGCGTATGAGCGCCTCGATCTGGGGGCTAACTTCGTGCCCATGAAAGCCGAAGATAAAGTGTTGCCCGATCTCGCGCTTCACCTCTTCGGGTAGTTTAGTGTCTCGCAGAGTATCCATGCAGTGCAGAAAGACCGGTGGTGCAGGTGTGATGGTGATGGTGGTGGTGGTGGTGGTGGTTAGAACAAGGGTGGCACCGTTCATAATAGTATCATATCAGTACCGGACATCACCGCGAGTCGCGTGGACAACCCAAGTGCGTCATGCTTCTTGCCTTGTTCTTTCCTACTATGGGAGTTCACAATGCCTGACATCTTTGACTGTCACTCTACATGAGAGACATGCTGTGAATGCGTATCTCACGTCCAAGGCCTATGAACGCGTACCAATCGCAATCGCGACACGCGCCGTCCGCATGCCGATATATCAGGTGACCGCGTTAGATGCCCTCGCGCGAATCGCGAATGGCAGCTGTTGCGCGCGTAAAGTAGAGCAACTTGGTCAGGACGTTCATCCCTTCTATTCTCGACTTTCCAAAGTTGGCTTTCCAAGCTGGCTTCCGTTCACTGGCTTGATGTGCGGCTGGTCTTTCGCCGCGTAGCTTGCGCGGGAGGCCTGCCAGCTAAGCGCGCTGGCCAGCAACGCAGATATCTGGCAACTGTTGCTCCCGACTCGGCCGTCGCTTTTGAGCCCTCGGATGCTACGCACGACGTGTCACCTCATGCAATACCACCTTCTACGTCTATGTCGGCTGATCCAAGATACGACTGGCGTCTGCGCGCTTCGAAGGAGAAACCGTTGAGCAACAAACTCGACATACGCTACAAGCGAAGGACGGAACCCGAGTCCATACCGGCTACCCCTGGCTCGGACTACTATGCAGAGATTGAGGCTTATAAGAGCCGGTACGTAATCTTTGTGACATGGTCGGACTGACGCTGACTACCATACAGCTTTCAGGCGATGTTGGACGCAGAGCAAGCGGAGGAGGAGGCTATCGTTCAAGAGCGTCTTGCCAGCTGGTCTATACAACGGCTCAAGTCTGAAGGGTACTGCTTAACAGATATGTCTGCGTTCTGGCTGGAGGAGACGCGCTTTGAAAGCTCGGTTGCGGCATTCTCTCTTGGACCTGGTGTCACGCTTCCGCATCATCGTTTCGAGTGAGTACAGTGGCACTTGATGTGAATTTGCTCTGACTTGCATGCTGTTAGAAACGGGACTCACGTTCTGGTCTCTCATCTCGATCCGCTCAAGGAACCAACTCGTAGAGGCAGAGTCCTACGCTCGACAACGTCGCAGCTGCAAGTGTCGTTCGAGGAAAAGTTTGACCTCACCGAAGACGGCGGGAAGTGGAGGTATATATTATTGTCCTCTTTCCTTCTTTCTTCCTAAGCTTACATTATGCAGGCTGGACGTCGGTCGCAGCGACATTGTCTATGACCGAATGCGCGCGGCTATCAGCGCTCTGTCTCACGACCCCGCCGTTCAAGAAGCTGCTTCCGTTGCTGACGACCGCGAGATCATCCTCCGCGGATCCTCGCTACGCGATGTCCTTCTTCGAGCGTTCAAGCCTGGTGCACGATATGGTGAAGGACTCGTTGCGCCAGGAATATCGAACACGACAGACGCCATGCTATTCCATGTGGACGAAGATCATGTCAGCCCTCCGCACGCCCCGTCCGGCTTACAGAACCCCGACGACGAAAACTACGTCCCTCATTCGACGCTCGATCATCCCGGTCACTTTCTCGATTCGTCTGATGGCGCCCTTGCGGGAGACATGCGAATCATGAGTTGGGCTCGCAGATTCTCACGTCCTGACCCTATCTGCGTCGAGGGAGATCCCGAGCTGGTTGGTTTGAACGCCACGCAAGTGCGTGCCGTAGCCACCATGATTGCGCAACGAGCTAGTCTGGTGCAGGGCGTACGTATACTTGCGCTGCGCGTATCAACCATCAGTGTACTGACGGGGCACGGGTTGCAGCCGCCTGGAACGGGCAAGACGAAGACCATCATCGAAGCCGTTCGACTACTCAAGGTGGGTGCTTGTCGCTTGTATTCAGCGAATTTTGCTCACCTCGCGTGCAGAGGGAGTTCGACGTCGCTATCCCGATCCTGGTGTGTACGTATACCAACGTCGCCGTTGATAATCTCGTCGAGGGACTGGTGGCCAGTGGACTCCACCCCGTACGAGTGGGCTCAGAGGGCAGTATCAAGGTTGATTGGTCCTATTCACCCCTCTTCGCTCGCTCACAATCTTCCAGGATTCCATGCAAGACCACTCCTTGTCGGCAAAGCTCGATGAACATCCGTCGGGTGAAGAGCTGGAGAAATTGGTCGCTAACAAGGAGGGAGTTATGAAGCGTCTGGAAACTTTAGAGGGTGACTTGGAGAAACTGAGCCGGGAACCCACCACCGCTAGGAGGACGAAATATATCGACAACATGTCCGCAGCTATCGTGAAGCTGGAGCGGCAGCTGTCCTCACTCAAAGCCATGATAAACGGTCTCAAGGCCAAAATGACCAAGGACGTCTTGAACGAGGCAGACGTGGTATGTGATTGGCTCTTCAACAACATCCGATGTCGTTTACGCTTTCACACAGATATGCTCAACTAGCTTGACTGCGGTCCACCCATCGTTTCGCCACGTGGATTTTCCAGTTGTATTCCTCGATGAGGCATCCATGTCGACCGAGCCTGCGACCCTCATCCCTCTAATGAAGGGCTGTCGTCACTTGTCCTTGATTGGAGATCATAAGCAGTTGCCGCCAGTCATACTCAGTTCGGAGGCGCGAGCGCAAGGCTTGGCCATCAGTCTCTTCGAGCGTCTCACGGAGGAAGGAGGTGCGTTCTGATAGTAGCTGCCTCGTGTGAGAAGATGAAGAACTGACTTGTCATTCAGTCGTGCCAAGTATCATGTTGGACACACAGTATCGCATGCACCCGGCCATTTCACGCTTTCCCTCTGAAGAGTTCTATAACCGTGCGCTTCTCGACGGCATGGTCGACAAAGCGGGAAACGTTCCCGACCGTCTGTTGCCTCCCACGTCTCAGCATCTAACTCCGACTGGCGAAACGGGCAAGCGACCTTCTGTCGTCTTCATGGATCACCGCGGTCCCGAGTCGGCGAGCGGACGTAGTCGCGTGAACTGGACCGACGCTATGGTCGTGTGCTCCGTGGTCAATGACCTGCTGTTATCTAATCCCGTCCGTGCTTCTCTCGATGCCATTCGTGTCGTGTTCTCATCCCGTATCTCGTGCAGGAACTTAAAGGTTCGGATATCGGCGTCATCGCACCGTACGCGGCGCAAGTCCGCCTCCTTCACCGTCTGTTCAACTCCGACACTCGTACTCTCGAGCGTTTCAAGGCCTCCCTCGGCGAACACCGCGCCATGCAGCTTGGCAACATCGAAGTCAAAACGGTTGATGGCTACGAAGGCCGCGAGAAGGAGGTCATCGTCTTCAGCACCGTTCGCAACAACTCAGCGGGCCAGATCGGCTTCCTTTCGGACCGCAGACGCCTGAACGTCGGCCTGACCCGCGCCAAGCGCGCACTCTTTGTCGTCGGCAGTCTTCAGACTCTTGGTGCTGGACGCGTCGACGAGCGGAGGATGCGCAAGGAGATGGAACGTGAAGCGGCTGCTCAGCAGGGAGAGCCCGCCCCCACGCCAAAGCCTGCGCGCACGAGGAGCGATGTTTGGGGCCGCTACGTCAAATATCTGAAAGATGAGGATCTGATTCGGCCTCTTGAGGGCGCACCTCTGCGCACAATCCTGGCCGAGCACACGCATATGCCACCTGCACCTCCCGCTATCGAATCTTACACCACTTTCCGCTTATGATCCTTCGTTTCCCTCCCACTGTCCTTTCTCGATGACATTCGCTCCTCATGCTTGCGCTGTTACCCATGCTTCGATATCTTGGTCTATATACTATACATACATACTACCACGACTCTGTTCTTAATGCTTAAATCTAGTGCCCAGATCTGGAGCGTCTCATGCACAACGTTAACCTTCTCTTCAGAATGGAGACGGTAGCAACCAGCTCTGGCTCCGCTCTGCTACTTTGCCTCCGTTTCTCCACGGCCCCCGTATTCATGGTTCCGTGCCCTTACGTGCGAGCGTCGGTCCCGCCGACGACCCTGCAGATCGAGGAGACCTAGAAGATGGGCCTGTCTCGGTTCACTAAAACGCGGGGTTCGTGTTGGTACTGGCATTCGATGTTGGTTTCACATTTAGCGTTGATGCTCGTCGCGTACGGGGTGCACCCAATATCAAGCCACAGGAGGTGTAACGACGTTCAATCGCGATGGCGTCGGAGGTAGTATGCAGTGGCGTGTACGTACGAGCGCAGATGAAGCTTGAAATTCGGTAGGGCCGAATGAACGCCGCTGCGTCTTTATCGTCGTCACTGAGCGCTACGCTGGGAATGAACTTGACAGGACGCTCAGATGTCTTGTTCACGCTGTCAAGATGCCGCTCGAGGAGGTGATATCGAAGTCCGACTGTGTAAGTGGCGCAGGAACGTGAATGGGTTCATATACAGTTGTTGCCGGAGTGCCAACGGTGGCGTTGACCCGCTGAGGCAGAGCATCGGGCAGTCGCGCTGGAGATTGTAGCTGGTGAAGGTGGAGATATACCCTGGACAGGGCCGACGAGCCTTACTCGAATAGAAGTGATACAGACGTTACTCGGGGAGTTCGGTCGCGCCTCATGCTGGTAGAGTACCCGCAGAGGCGGGCCCCATACGCCACGTACACCGGTAAGTTGCCGGCGTGTGGCCAAGATGCCATGTTTCGGCGCAGTAGACAAGCGACGTGCCCTAACGGGCGTTGTAATCGTCACACGGAAGGGTCAATCTGAAAGGGTAGATCATTGTCCGAAGGGCTGAATCGAAGTATCGAGGATGACACGAGGCCGTATAGCAACAGCGAGCTGACAGCGAAGATGCATCGAAATTGGAACACGGAGTGCTGTGTATATCCCATACAGGTTAAGTCCGAGAAGGGTTAAAGTAGCCGGGGTCGTGACGGAGTTTAAGGACTTGGTTGAGATTGAGTTGAGATGAACCCGATGGTGAGCGAAGATCTTGAGAAGAATACAGACTCAGAAGAGCAGAGACACATGCTCTGAGAGTATATGGTTTTGCTATGGCCTGATCAGCTATGGGGATTGACGAACACAGAGTACGAGATCAACGTATCACCCAATTCACTTGACTACTCGATATGGGCGTCCAAGATGTTCCAACTATACAGCCGTACAGAAGGTGACAAGATGTTCCTTGGACTAAACCTTGATACGGTTCATGAGTATGGAGTAGACATGACCATTGCGCGAGTAGACAGACTCCTATATTTCAAGAATAGGTGCAGGAATGGCAATCATCAGAGTACGAGGAAACGGTATCTCCATTCCGAGTAACCAGCTCGTTACCCTATCACAAGGAGCCTGTCATTCGTCGAGCACCCCATTGGATAAGGCGCCAGTTGGTAAGCTTCTGGGACTACCCCAGCGAGTCCGGAGGCTCGGACGATCGACGCGCGCGGGGCGCGTCGGCGCCGGGCGGGCCAGCGCTCATGCGTTCGGCTGGGCGCAGAATTCTATGTCTGCCTTGGGCCAATACTCGCTCGGGAAGAATGTGTGTAGCGTCTGCGTCCGCAGGGAACAAACGTTACGCCGTGCGCGAGTCGGACGGCTTGAGGTGAGCGGGGCTATCCTGCGCCTCGGGATGTGTAAATCTTTATGAGAGTGTTCGGGCGAATGGTAGATCGCAGACAGCGCCTACAACATAGGGTGCAAGTTCACACCGGTGATCGTGATGATGGTTCGGGTGGTGGCTGGCGCTTGTATTGGCCGTGTCGAGAGAGCCGCGGCGGAGCCCGGTCGAAACGACGGACAAAGGGCACGAGGCTCGCTCTGTTGGTGCCCACGCTTCGAACTCAGACGCCCGGCGTGATGCCGATGCGAGGACCCACAAGTTGCTTCTTACCACCAGCGCCTGCAGATGTCCAACGCAATCAGCTTGACTACTCATTTCGTCTTCTCCGTTCTGCGCCGCGGCGTGTATAGATGTGTACACCGCGGGCTCGCAGTTGCCTGCGCCCCCAGACTCGGGCATCTGCGTCACTGAGGATCGGTCTTCGCAGTGTCGTCGGTGCTCGGTCCTGAACTCGTGAATGCTATCGGGTCGTCATTTGATATCAACGTGGCTCTCAGGCCACAGTTGGTACGCCAAGGTGTGGCCGAGGTTGCCGCTCAAGCGCTAACCGTCCTTGGTTCGTCTCTTACCCGTTACATCGTGTCCGCACCGACCGCAGAGCGACAAAGCTTCTACGCTGGACAATGTCTCGTAGCATCAGGTGCTATGTGCTTGGAAGCTCTCCCAAAGCGCCTGCATGAAAGGAGCGCAGATCGCGTGGGCTTGAGTGTGGGTGTTTGCTTTGCTGAATTGGGCCGTAATGCTCGGGCATCGACGATCTCCTGCGCGTGGGTGGATGCGGCGGTTCTCTGATAGAATCTCGTCAGCTCGTCGCACGCCGTTTGAGACGTGTCTGCGCGCCTCGGAAGGTGGCTTCGGGGAGCCTAGAGTATGCGGCTACGTAGGAAAATGAACACTGGGAGCCTGATGGAGGGAGCTTCGTTTGCGGCGCGAGACCTCTGAACAAACTGCGTTAGGCAACACATTGTCCCATCACATCGCAACGGACATTTGCCCTGACTTGAGCGCCGACTGAGCGCCGTGCGTGGTTTGTATAAACGCGCGGATGCGCCGACGTCTCTTCTGCCGCTCCGCACTCCCCCGGTCTCTTCCTCTGCTCATAGCCTTCCCCTTTATAGCGCCCATTATCACCTCCTGCCGCTGTATACCACCTTCGATCCATGGCAACCTTTGTGTCCGCGCCCTGGGTGTTCACCGCCGGCGACGCTCAGCACCATATGCTCGCGCCTGCGCCTCGCGCACCCGCTGCTACGCGCGCCTTGGGCTCGCCTCGATACCCGCTCCGAGAGCCCGACTCCGAACCTCTGTGTGAGTCCACCGCCGTCTGCGAAGTCTCAGTTTCTGCTTGCTGATGCATCGATTATCCTATTACCTTCACATCTATCCGGAAATGCGCTTTGCTCGCGCTCCTCGTGCTCGTCTTCGGCTCATCGGTGCGAAATGATCTCCACCAATTGCTTTGTGGATGTCTCGCACGCGCCGTCGGCGCCGCCTCATCGTCGGGGATTCGATGTTTGGCATCGGGCAAATCAACTTGTGGCACGTGATACTGATACTGCCACATTCAACCGTACTGGCTCTTTCCCTGTCAATGGCGCGGCAGTTCCCTGGCCTTCGTACACGCTCTCGCATGACTCAAATGCGCCAACAACGGCAGCGACGGTCGCAGCAAGATGGTCGAATGCGGAAGCAAAGTCTGACGCCGCCCATACCGCTCATGTGCATGCGAACTTGGGGCCGGTACGCACCCTCCTTTCTTTCCCAAAGGAAACGGAAGCTTATGTGGTCGATCTGCATGCAGAACGTTGGCCCGCGCACCGCCAACCCCTACGAACCCTACGACGCGGTACGTTCTTTCCTTCGGTACAGACGACTTCTGCGCGTATGCTGAACAAACCTGTCACAGGATATTATATGCGATCAGACTGATGCTCTGACGTGTGAGCGCGAGGTTAGTTCATACTTCGGCTTGCGCTGCGATCAATTACGATCTTTGTGCCCGCCCGGCGCGAGGGTCAGGCACCCCGACCTCGGCATCCGCGACGTGCTTCCGAATGTCCGTCTCGCAACGCCGATACTTTTTTGTGTCCTGGGATTTTCAAACAGCATCCCCGTACAAAAGCGCTGACCTTACGATCGCTTTAGTCCGCCGTTCGTCCCCCACAAGTGAACATCGCTCTCATAGCCGCCGCCGCCGACGTCGTTGCTGCACAGAAGGTATCTATCGCTTGTTGCTGTGTTGATCGAACTTCCGCTCATAGCTCACATGCAAAGCTCGACGACGTTCATCTGCCCGGACTCTTTGATTCTGCTCGCCCACCGATTGCGCTGCCGAAACCTCGGTCGTTTTCAAGCACGTACCCGATGAGTACCAATCCTCCCAACGTCTCTGCCTCTTTCCGTTCCGGTGATTGGTTGTACGTCGCTCTCATTTACGGTTGCCATGGCCTGTCTTACTGAGTACGTTCCTGTTAGGTGCCCTGCGCCCGGATGCGGAGAACATAACTTCGGGTGCGTCATTCCGCCCATCACATTTCATCACATCTCTTCCCCCTGCATTCCCCGACGCCCGTTGGCAATATAGGCTTTCCGTAGTGCCTTGAAATCCACATCCCAAAATTGGTCCTTGACATTTGACTCGTGTTACCGATCTTCGTTCACATATAAGCCCGGCGTCCCCGACTGTGCTCATGAGCTGATCGCCCCTCCCGTTTACAGACGCAACTCATCGTGCAGGACCTGCTCTATCCCCCGGTCCGCGCCGCCCTCCATGTACCCCACGCAGCATGTCCCTTCTCCGCGCTTTCAGAACCCTCCATCTTCGGCGGGACTTCTCAGCAGCTTCTCGCAGCTCAGCCTCAACGGTTCGGGATCATCTAGCTGCTCTACATCGGGAGCACCTAGTCCGATGTTCCCTCTGACGCCCGAGCACGTTCATGCGCACATACCGCCGCCGGCGAGCAGCCCGTTCAAGCACACGACCGCTCCTCGTCACCAGGTCGCGCCCTCGCACCTTCCTCAGCGTCCGCCTATGCCTCAGCGTCACGCTACGGAGCCGACGCAGCGCAACCCGCAGGCACCTCTCGCTACCGTCGTGCAGCAACATATTCTGACGCCGTCTGGACGCGCCTTCAGTGAGGGTGGCCGCGTCCAGAATGTCTCCGCCGACCCGCTCTGCCCGTTGGTCATCTTCTGGCCGGACAATGAGCCTCTTCCAGAACTCGGGCAGCTGCGTCCGAGTAACTCTGCTGGCATTGTGGTGAGTTAGACAAGGCCTGTCTATCCGCGTCGTACTGAAGACGATTCCACAGCACCCTCCCATCTTGAACACGGGCAACCGTGGTCCTATCGAGCACCAACCCGGCGACTGGGTCTGCAAGAAGTGCAACTACCTAAACTGGCGCCGCCGCAAGGTCTGCCAGACTTGCTTCCCTTGTGTGTACTTTTCACTGCACCTGCATGACAATCTTTGCTGAACGTCCATGTAGACGCCGAGGGCAACGGCGACTCGATTTCGGCCACGGTTCAGGCTAGCCGCATCGCTATTCTCAAGCAGCTCCTTGACCAACAGACAGCCGCCGCGAAATCCCGCTCTCCTGCGCCTCGTCATCCTCCTCTCGGCGAGCAACACCGCCGCCAGACGATGGATTCTTTCCGCCCGGCTCCGCGTCACGAGCAGAACAACCGTCGTCCGGCCCACCTTGACAGTAGCGCTTTCGGTCTCGGTCTCGATCTGCAGGAGAGCGCCCCAATCTATCAAACGACGCCAAACCGTCAGGACTCTTTCCCACCCGCCATCTTCCATCAGCGCATGCCGCGCCCGCCGTACGGCGTTGACGCCTTCCGTCAGTCGGCGCCTCCCTCTCCCTACTTCTCCTCTTCTCCGCTCCCACCGCTCGGCCGCTCGCTTCTCGACGATGCTCCCTACGCCCCGCAATACTCGCCGGGCCTCTTTAACACGTTCGACGCTGCGCACGCACCTGCCCCTGCTCCCGCGGCCTCGGCGCTTCTCCCATCGTTCTTGAACGACCTCGTACAGTCGCCATCGCTCTCCCCTGCGTCGTCCGCCACATCGTCTCTTGAGGGCGAGGTTGAGCCCAGTCCTGCGACGTCGTGCGCATCACTCGGGCAGCAGGCGTACCAAGCGTCACCGAAGCCGACCGTTCTACAAGGTGTGCCTGTCGCGCGCCGGTCGCCGACGGCAAACATCTGGCGCGTTGACGGTGTGGAGGCCAAGGCTCGCACGCTCGCACCCATCGGCAGCGGGCGCAAAAACAGCTGGGATGCGTAGTCGCGCGCGTACCCCAGCTTTTCAGTCATTATGGATCATCTTGCTTCGCACAGCGTCAGGCTGCGCGGTAGTGCTCTTGCACTTGTATACCATCCCCCTGTGCCATCGACTCGCCCATCCCACACTTCTTGCGGATCGCATCTTCATTTATTCTCGTAATCATTTATAGGTCTCGTCTCGTGTTTGTGTACGCAGCAGGAGTCTGTCATGTAGACGCTCGCGGAGGAGTAGCACGGACCCGCTCATCGCATTGTAGTTGATTGTCGACACTCGCCCTATTTACGGAGATACACCCTGGAACTCCCCACTTGTAACCACAGGACATCGTAGAATGAAACGCTCGTTCCTCCTCATATCATCATCGCCTCGGCTACACCTGAAGTAGTTCTTAACACACGGTGACACTATATTAATACATGCAAGGTCTAGAATGCGCGTAGGGAGATCTGGGGCTTTGCGGTGGATGTCGTCGTAGTGGGGACGTGACTGGATAGAGCCTCGCGCACAGCGCCTTGCATACGATCCCGCGTGTCTGCATCCAGCTTCGTGGATGCCTCTTTGAATGCCGTCGGGGATGCAGACGCGAACACGAGTAATTGTGCGATAGCTTGAGTATGCAGAGCGGATGGAGATGATGCAGCGGGCTCCAGCAGCGTTGTAAGCGTTGGAAGTAATACGCCAAGTAGGCGGGTACCTATACCACAATCAGATTATTGAGTTCGACACGGATGAAAAGATACGCACGGAAGTCTTCGGACAGGGTCGTGAAAAGCGAGTTGAAGGCTTTGAGTACCTCCCCGACGGCAACAGCATGCGCCTGTATCGTCTTCGCGTCGTTGCCATATGCAGCTACACGAGCGAGGTATTCAACCATACCGGGCATGAGGCTACGCACGCACTGGCGCAGGATAATGCTACCGGAGGCAGCAGTGGCAAAGAGTGTCTTCGCACAATGAGCCGCAGTGAGCGTCATCTGCGGTAGTGCCGGCGTCAGACTAGTCATCGTGTACAGATGAACGAACGAACCTCTCCAGCTTCGCCAAGCTTCTCCGACAGCTGGGCGCAGAAATGTCCGATCACGGGTTCCCCGAGCTTGACGCCTGAGGGGAGTCCAGTGAGAATAAGCACTGCCGCCAGGAAGTTGTTCTTGATCTTGTTCGACGAAATATTGCCCTGGCGTCCCCTGTAGACCTCAATGAGTCTCGATAACTATTATCAGAGAGCCCACTCACTTCATGTCGTCGACATTTATCAGACACGCTGATAGTAGGCCATGAACAACGCGGGTGTACATGCCCGATGCCGGCTCGTTGGGCGGCAACGTTAGTAGAGACTTCAGCGCCGGCAAGGTAGGTCCCGCGTAATCGACCTCTGAGGCTTCATTTCTAAGAAGATCTACCGTGACACGTGAGAAAAGCGATCAAGTTGCGGAAGTCGCGCGTACCGCTATAGAGGCTGATTGCAACGGCTCGAACCTCGTCAACCGCGGGGCCCATTGATGATCCTATCGTCATGAAGGCCTCGAACCCTGCCTTGATGAGCTCGATACGTTCAATAGGGTTACCGGGTATTTCTGGTGACGATGAGTCAGCATTCGCGATATATATGCATAAGATATAAATTGCAACATACGGCCAGATGCGACCTTGCTGCCGGGCATCGCGCCCTTGAGGATATAAGCGCAGATCCGTAAACAGTGCATCTGCGGGGATATGCTAGTGGCACTGTGATGGTGATCAGTTGGCTATCAGCACGCAAGCAAGAGTTTCCCGTGACATACACGTTTAACGGACCGGCATGACTAGAGGCAAAAGCTCGAACTGTATCCACCAAGTGAACCTGTACCGAAGGCGGCTCTGTCATTGCCATACGGTACCATAGGTTCATGAGCTCGTCGAAGATGGTCGGCTCTAAAAGCGCCTTTCCGGCATATTCTGTCCGGATCAAACAGCGCATAGCTCTCAAAGCAACTTGAGAGTTCTCGTTGCGGTCGTCAGACTGCGCTTGCGAAGAGGAGGAACCGGACAAAGTTTCGTACACCAGACCGAAGACGATGAAGAACATAGCGCTGGGCTCAGTCCGACTGGATGCAGTGGTCGGGAGTGATGCTGGACTGTCCAACCCGTCCATTGCTGCGCGGATGGCGGGGTCGTCAGATTCCATGAACGTAGTGACGGCCTTCAGGACGACAGGCCATGATCTTGAATAGTACTGAGGATCATATCAGCGACGCCGGACAAGGTAAGTATCGGACTGTAGCTTGCCGACGTACCGGTAACAAGATATCCCGTCCGAGGCTGGCGTATGCGACATCGAGGGATGCGGAAGAACTGTCTTGCAGCTCCTCAGAGCCAGCTCGAATGCTTGCGTAGTCGCGCAAAGCAGCAATCCACAGATTGGCCAACGCAGTCCGGTGCGGCTGAATGACTACTGCGAGGTACGGTCTCTCGATACTTGCGGAGGCAAGTCGAGCCCATGCAGAAAGAGTCGCAATCCTCAACATTGCCGAAGCATTGGGACTACCCTCGCCAGCTTCACCCAACGACAGCATTGCAGTACCTAGAAGCGTCATTCAGTCTTGACAACTCGAATGGGCATCATGGCCAGCGCGTACCGCTGCATTGCTCCAGAGCTGAAGTCAACAGTCGTAGGATACGACCCATCCTATTGACGTCCCGTACGATACCACTCCCGACGAAGACGGCACAAGCGCCAACGGCTGACGCCAAGATCTCGGGCGTCGAGTCCGCAGTAAACGCCGGTGTCAGAGCGGCAGTGACAGGGGCTTGATACTGTTCCATGAGAAGCGCATCTTCGTAGTCCGGATCCGGTGTCTTCGCAAAGGTCTGGGACAATGTTAAGCGCGTCCATCAAGTTAGCACAGTTCACGCACCTCAATAACATCGCGCAAGACGATGAGACCCTCAAGTCGAATGTCCGTCACATACGCAGTAGACGCCGTGAAAGCCATCTTGATCAGATCCGACACTCGAGAGACGAGAAGACCCGCCGTTGGAACACCGAGTTTGCGCGCATACGCGAGATCGAGCTGTTCTTGTCTTCCGGATCGCGCTACAATAGTACAAAGTTCGTGGAGGCACTGCAGAGCGAAAAGCTGGGTACGCCAACGCGACGTAGGCCGGCCAGAATCTGACGAGCTACTGTCCCCGACGCTGAGCGAAGCACCTTCATCATCGAATGACGGGCCGCCCTTTGATGCCTCGGCTACCTGCTGGGAAGCAGTGGTTCGCGACATGATCTTCTGACAAAGATCGATCCAAGCCGAAGGGTTGTAGACGACGGTTTGCTGTAGCCAGCTTGTGATGATCTTCCGCACGCCATCGATGGAAGGGTCGCCGTCGAGCATAGCGAAGAGCTCTTCGACTAGCGCGTCGCCGCCAAGTTTCGACACAAGTAACGCGTCGCGCTGGACCAGTTGATACAACGCATGAATGGAAGCGAGCTTCAGAGGGCGACGGAAGGAAGTCAAGTGCAGGCGGAACTGCGTGATAAGGTCGGGTACGTTGACATGATCGGGCGCGAAGAGGAGGAAGTGCTGGATGCAGCGGATGGACTCGACGCGTATGCCTTCATCATCTTCCGCCATCAACCGGCGAAGAAGGTCGAGCACTAGCGTGCGAGTACGCCAGCTGTCCTGGATATCAGGACCGAGAACTGTGATGACCGCATCGATGATCTTGCAGGCTGCCTGCATAGCGGGTAGGTCTCCAGACGCGTTGACGGTCGCGATGCTGCCGCCCTCGAGCTCGTGCGTAGATGACACATACACCTTGAACAACATGCCCAGCGTGCTCGGAACATAAGGAGCATAAGCCAAACTGGCAGCATTCACGACGCGCGAGAGGGAATGTAAAGCCCAGAAGTGAACGAGAGGATGCGCGTCTTTGCTCAAGGACATGAGGATGTTCACGGAGGTCTTGAGTAGCGGGCCCGCAGCCAGACTTCCGACGTGATCGTAGATGGCACCCAGTGCCAGACAGCAGCCTGCGCGGCCCTGCGGATCGCGGTTGTTGACGACTTGGTCGACGAGCATCTTCATCAGGGAGGCCAAGAACTGTTGGCTGTCGGCTAGCCCCGCTAAGCGCCCAAGCGCTTCGCTGCTAGCAGTGCGAAGAACCTCGTCTCCGTCGACGAGCGAGTCCTGTCTTGAGATCAGTACAAGTTGTCAGTTCAAGAAACGGATGGTCACCTTTAGGAATGAGGAGAGCACGTTTGATACCCCGCTACTCGCAAACACATCTCGAGTTTGACGTGTAGGTGCCTTCATGGCTTGTCGCAATGTCAGAACAATGGCGAGGGTGGCATTCACGCGAGCCGCCGCCTTTCTCCCGACATTCCGCTCGAACTTGGGCGAGCGCACGGCGTCCGAGAGAATCGTCAGCGTGCGCGTGGTATCAGTGCCGTTCTGCAAGGGAAGCAGAGATGCGAAGAGGTTGAGACCCGCGTCAACAGCTTGGGTCGCTGCTGTTGCCGCCTCGCTCCACGGAGAAGCAGCGTTGGCATCGTAAGCCTGACAGACTGATAACGGATCGTGTTCGCAGGAGCGCAGAATGGGACGATGGAGCTGATGTGTAGGGTTAGCGTGGTGTATAGATCGATGCGATGAAGTCGTACCAAATCATCTATGGCAGCGTCGATGGAGTCCCTGTTGAGCCGGTCCTCTCCAGTGGGCGTCTCTTCGGCAGCATCGGAGTCCAGATTAGCGTCTGCCAGATCCACGGATGATACACCATACGCGTAGTTGTCGAATGTCTGCCACAGAGAGGTGAAAGCGCCCGAAGACGAGGCTATTGCGGCCTGAACGGATGATCCCGCAAAGCCTTCCGGGCTCGCGACAAGGGAGATCACGGACTGCATGAGAGTGATTTGCGTGCTGTCGGGTACACTGGCTACACCCAACAGAGAGAAGCATTGGAAGATGCGGCGTCTCAACAATGATTCGCGCGAGCGCAAGACGGTCCAGCTTTGAGCCGCCTCCGGACTCAGACCGACGGGTTCCTCGAGCTGCTGCGTTGAGAACGCGTTGATGAAGAGGAAGGCGTTGCTGAGCATGACAGCGAGGCGGCGGGATACGTCCAGAGTCACGAGAGAGGGTGAGTTGTATTGCAGGAAGCAGTAGATAGCGCCGAGGGCGGTCTCTCGAACGTGTAAGAGGAAAGACCACTCTGAGATCGTACGTCCTCCATCCGTAGAGGTGTCCTTGTTTGTCGGCTTAGGCAGCGCATTGCGCCAGAGTACCAGTAGCTGAGGTAGATGTGCGCGCACGAAGTTTGGGCCGAGGGTCATGAGTGACGCGATGCATGTCCAAGCCGTCTCGACTTCCACTTGTGCGAGGCGTACATCGTGCTCTCCGGCACGCTTAAGCAATTGAATAGCCATGTCCAAGACCTTCGAGCTGATGTCGTACGAGACGTAGAGGGGCTTCGAGGGGATGATGGTCACAAGAGCAGCAAGCCCGTAGGCGTGCCCGAGAGCGCGTGTAGAGATGTCGGAGGATGCGTTGGGTGAGGTGAGGAGGTTCACGTCGCGCTGTAGATGTTCCATCACCGTGATCATGATCTTGGGTAGACGCAGGGGAGAGGAGTAGCAGAAAACACGCAAGGCGCCGCTGGCATGTACGCGCACAGTGTGGTTGGGGTGTGCAAGTAGGGTGACGAGGGGTTCATTCAGCGCGTCCTAGCCGAAAGAATGAGTAAGTCATGACAGAATATCGAATATCACGGCGGTAGGCACACCTGCACTGGCGGGGGAGCATTCCCCAGCTGTTGCAGTAACCCTGCAACCTCTTTGAGAACGACGGCAAGCACGAAAGGACTGGGTGCAGTTTGACTGGGCATAAACGCTGGCCATCGCTTGAGGTACGCGCTCGATAGCTCTTGAATGGCAGCAATCTGCGCTTGCTCTCCCAGCATGCGCACACCGACGAGGTCACGCAGGAGTATACCGACGAGCTTCCTCACGAGCAAGATCTCAAAGCGAGTGCCCGTATTGCGCGCGTTGTTGACGATGTCATGCATGAGGTGATGAATGATCTCGCCGTAATGTGACTCTACGTAGCTCGGGCCGAGAGTAGATAAGAGCGAAGTGTAGAACTGGAACAGGCCGACGCGAGACTTGTGCGTCGCCTGTAGCCTGTTGAAGGGCATAGAGAGGTGGCGGAACATCTCTGGTAGAGTCATGATCGTCTTAGTCTCGCCCGGGATAGCAGATACTGGCGCAGGATCCTCGTCCTCGTCTTCAGGCTTCTTTCCCTTCTTAGCAGGTTCCGGTGGTGCAACCGCGACTTCGCTCTGGCTGGATGCAAGGACTTTGCCGACGAGGGCTGCGAGGGATTGGCGGGTTATTTGGTCGGCGCCTTCGAGACTGCGTACACAGAGAGCGACGACCTGCTCGATCTCGGATGCGGTCCACTCTGAGCCACTCAAGGGATAGACAGTTGATAGAACCTGTTACGCGTGTGTCAACGACTGCTATTCAAGAAGCCGGGTGCAATGTTATCTCACGTCGGCTGCAGCGCGTCGAATAGGAAGAGCCTTGTCGAGCAGCCCACTTCTCATATTCTTCACGATGTCTTTGAATACGCTATCGGTGGCCGCGCGCCGCGCGGTACTCAAAGACTTGCGGAGGGCGACGAGGGCATGGTAGCGTAGTAAGATGTTCTGAGAGGCTTGATCGGTACGCGGCTAGGGATCTACAACAAGAAGCACGAACGGACGAAGACTTGTACAACTTCAACGTGACGGTCGCAATCTCCACCATGAACGACATGACCTACGAACATCGCGTCAATACGAGGACTATTCAATGCTCTGTAAGGCGTACCTGGCTACCCAGATTTGCCATTATCTCTCCGACGCAGTAGAGTGCCGCTCTGTGGGAGGATTTGAAATTAAGGCCAGCAAGTATATATGGTGAGAGGACTAACGCACATCTTATACGGATCCTTGTCCGCCGGCGCTTTGAAGTCACCGACGACTTTCAGGCATGAGATCAAGGTGTCGAATGTGGTCTTCGACTCTCCGAGGGTGTACAGTAGCACGAAGCAGCTTGAGGCAGCATTTCGAATGGCGCGTCCGGGCTGCGGGTACGGATCGCCCTTGGTAACGGCATTCAATAGACTCGCCTCGAGGTCGCGTTGAACGGTTTTGAGGTCCTCCTAGTATACGTCAGAAGCAAGTCACGTTGTAGCAACCGGGAGCACGTACTGCGGATGCAGACTTGATAAACTGTTCAACGGACGACAGCCATTGGAATAGATAGACCTCTCCGTTCTCTCCGCCGAGTTTACTCTATGACATCGCTTAGACTACGCGTAGATCCCGTAGCAGCAGTAGGCGCACCTCGTCAATGGCCGGGCTGGAGACCGAGAACTGCCCACTGGGGTCATCCATGGTCGTACTGGCAGCAGTCGAGGCCGCTGAAGGGTCGTGAAGTCGTAAGTTCCGCGGCGACTTCGCGGTATGAGGCAAGTCGCGTGGTGGGTGAGCGAGACGCGCGCGCGCGGCTTGGTCTTGACTCTCATGCGCGATGGATGATGGGCCGTCCAACTCTACCTCCAGGGAGCCCACGTTGAACCATGCCGATAGTACTTCCTTGACTGGCTCTGGAATATCGCAACCGTCGCTCGCTCGGCCCGTGGTGCCGAGCGCGTCGTCCACAGCCAGGCTGACTTCTGCGGCTAAGAAGAACGCGTCTCACCTGAGCGAGAGCCTCGGCTACAACAAGTTCTTGCTGTACGAAAACAAGTCTCGCTTCTATGTCGTCGCTTCGAATACCTCCGAGTCTCTTCATCGTATCGTGAAGATCGACCGCACGTCACAGGAAGAGCTTAATGTCGTCGAGGACGAGGCCGTGTACACCGGGCGACAGATGACGTCTATGCTCAAGATGATCGAGGAGGGCAATAAGCTATCCGGAGGTCTCAGCAAACCGAGGGTGTTTTACGGTGTTGTAGGTGCGTACCGTACCTGGGTAGGCGAATCCATGGACTAATCCACCGCGCAGGCTTCGTGAGGTTCACGGCGGGCTGGTATATGGTCACGATCAACAAGCGCTCGGTGGTCGCCCTGCTCGGCGGGCATTATCTCTATCACTGTGAAGGAACAGATATGATACCCGTATCGTGGAACCACAAGATCGACAAGCCGGCGGAGGAGCAGCGCCAAGTCAGTATCTTCAAGCAGGTCGACATGTCCAAGAATTTCTACTTTAGGTACGGGTAATCGCAGTTCTACGCGAGAATAGCTTGACTGGATGCTTCATTAGCTACACTTACGATCTCACGTCAACCCTACAATGTAACATCACCTCACGAAACAAACTCAGCGGTGGCAAATGGCCCTTCAGCGACCGTTACGCATGGAACTACCACATGTTTGACTCGGCCTTCCGCGACGCTGCTGCTGGTACGGTCAAAGCGCACTGGGTACTGCCCATCATACACGGACACGTCGATCAAGCCAGTGAGTTGACCTCATGCCTCTCCGCCGGGAACGAGGGCTCAATCCTGTTCCGCAGAACTCAACGTGCTACATCGCGTTGTCTACGTGACTCTCATCGCAAGACGCTCTCGTCACTACGCCGGAGCTCGCTATCTGAAGCGTGGCGTAAACGATGAGGTACGTCCAACATGTCGCCGTGTGGACTTATATGCACTGATTTGAGCGAAGGGCAACGTCGCGAACGAGGTCGAAACCGAGCAGATAGTCTCGGAGGCGTTGACAACGCCGTTCTCATATCCCGGACAGACCGTGTCAGCAGAGCGCCGGCCCAATCCGCGCTACACAAGCTACGTTCAGGTACGCGTACTGATCCGCAGCCACCATTACACGACTAACGCGTTTTGTTACCCAGTATCGCGGGAGCATACCTATATACTGGGCGCAAGAACTCAATAGCATGACCCCTCGGCCGCCCATTGAGAGTACGTTGTCCGCTATATGATAGCATCATGCCCGCCTGACGAGACCGCAGTCAGCGTCGTCGATCCCTTTTACTCTGCGGCCGCGTTGCACTTCGACGATCTCTTCGCCCGATATGGCGCGCCGATTACTATCCTCAACCTCATCAAGAAGCGCGAGCCGCAACCGCGAGAGTCCAAGTTGCTGCACGAGTATACACTCTGCGTCAAATACCTCAACCAGTTTCTCCCGGCGGAGAAGCAGATGGACTATATCGACTGGGACATGTCGCGCGCATACAAGGAGTGCGTGCTACTTCGTTCTATTCAGTAGATCAAAGTACTCATTGTACCGCAGGAAGACGTACGATGTTATCAGCTACCTGGAAGACCTCGCCGAAGAGTCGATCGAGAAGACTAAGTTTTTCCATTCCGGCCCGGAGCCATACGCCCACTATCTGCACGGCCCGAATAGGTAATGGACCTACCGTGTGAGCTCTATTGCGCAGGCTAAAGATATGCCAGGGAGTGGCGGAGCGAGATGATGCTGCAGAACGGCATCTGCAGGACAAACTGCGTGGACTGTCTTGACCGCACGAATGCAGCCCAGTTCGTGTTCGGCAAGCGCGCATTCGGACACCAGCTGTACGCGCTCGGGGTCGTCGATAGTCCGAACCTCCCGTTCGATTCCGACGCGGTGAATATGCTGACGGAGATGTACCACGATCACGGTGATAGTACGTTGATACGACCGAGTTCGTTGTATGTGGTGACTGACAGTCGAATAGCCTTGGCCCTCCAGTACACGGGCAGCGCGTTGGTCAACCGCGTTGAGACATACCGACGCATGCCGCACTGGAACAGCCACTCTCGCGACATCATCGAGAACTTCCGTCGGTACTACGCGAATTCCCTGCTCGGTGCGCGCGTCCTCTGTCGTCATCGTCGTTCGTCGATGCTCATACACGTTCAGACGCCGACAAGCAGCTTGCCATTGACTTGTTCCTCGGCATTCGGCCCGATCAGACCGGCATACACACGAAGCGCGGCGGTTACCGCGACTGGTACGCGATCGAACATGTTCAGCCTGCATACGTGCTCGAGAGGAGTCGTCCGGGTATCCAGCAGTTCGTCGACGCGTCGTCCAAGTTCTGGTCGGAGTATTATCGCCCGCTGCTGTTCACGTCGTTCCTCAAGCACTACGCGTACCTTATGAATAGTACCTTGAAGCTTCCGGGGTAAGCATGCCGGTTCAAGATCTGGATACGTCGCTGATGCTTCGTTTCCAGGAAGACCTTGAAGGATCTCGAGCAAAGCCCGTTCTACCCGCCCAAGCAGCTCTCAAGGCGCACGAAGTATGCTCTCATGCATGGCCACGTGCTCTGGTGCTGACATACAAGCCTAGGGCCTCCCACATACGAGCCAGCAAGCGATCAGCCATCCCTCGTATCACCGTAGTCGATACTACGGACGAACCTCCAGAACACGACGACAGGCAGCTCGCGCACTGGCAAGATCCATATATCTCTGAAGACGAAGAGATCGAGTACGAGAGGTCAGTTAGTGATCATCCTGGTATCTTATTGATCAAAGTCTAAGACACATCGAATAGATACATCGAGCAATGTCAAGGCATGTACGACAATGATGAGACCGGGCCTGGTCCGAAGGATATCATGAAGTATAAGACCTCGGTGCAGCTAGCTTCGGGGCATTTAGAGCTGGATGGTGAGGAGGTGGTGGATGAGATATCCTTCTCGTTCATTGAGCGGGCACAGGCTTCGGCATTTGATACGTGGTCTACGAACTGGGATTATGAGACTTGGGCTAAGAGTACTAGTCTATGATTGCATACTTTACCAGTCGAGATGGCTATTTCTGCTCTATGTTGGCATAAACTCACATCTCTTGGAGGCTTGTCCACTTAGCAAAGCAGCATGTCATTTATGTCAGAGTAGAGACCGAAATGGTGGGGACTCCCTGCAACTGTCAACTACAGCATTCATTCAAGAGAGTTTCAGGCCGGGACTCCGGGACTATGGAACATCTAGTTAGTTCCCTCTCAAAAGCCCACTCAGAATGTTAATGGTGTACATGCCTGGTACTTGGGGTGACGGAAAGTGATCGAACAGTCTCATGTGGCTTCCCTCCCACGGCCCCCGCCGCGGCGCGTCGGTGTTTGCTCCCATCATGCCACTTGTATTCTTACCTACCTACTACTACGTTCATGGCTTGTACCTATCAGCTACTCACTCCATCACGTCGAGGTTATGTTCTCGGAATGCGCGCCGCTGGCAAGAGTATGCATGACACTATCAAGTGACATGCCCTCCACGGGACGACACAGAACTTGCCACACTCGGGGCGCCCACTCAAATGGACCGAAGACAAGAAGAAGGCAATCGTGGACTTCTGTGTCAAGCATCGCGCCATGCCCTATAAGGAAGTCGCGGCCACATTGGACGGCCTCACCGAACGACAAGTACACTATGTTATGGAGACGATGAATTACCACCGCCGCGTTGCACGAAAGAAGGCAATACTCACGCAGAAGCACATGGATGCACGTCTTGAATGGGCATGCAACCACCTAGAGGAGTCGACAGACTGGTCGCGCATTGTCTGGACAGACAAAGTTGCGCTCGAGCTCGGGAATCTTCCAGCAAAACGCGTCACATGACTACCGGGCGAGGATATGGTCGAGGAATGTATTGCGCCGATGTGTTGTAGCAGACGGCAAACAATAATGATGTGGGGTGCCATCACGGACCGTCAGGCTGGGCCGCTTGTTCACTTAGAGCTAGGAACAGAGGTTCTGAAGGACGGGAAGAGGAAACACGGTGGTGGGTTTACAGGCCAGAAATACATTGAGCAGGTGCTCTGTAGACTACTCAAAGACTTTCTAAACGAGCTCAAGAGCAAGTACGATACCCCCTTCAGAGTTGTGGAGGACGGTGCGTCGCCGCATTGCAACGTCTTTGCCAAGGCCGCACGCGAAGAGCTTGGCTACGAGAGCTTCACACACATTGCAAACTCGCCGCAGATCTCTCCCATTGAAAATATATGGCATATGCTCAAATCTCGCATTGCTCATATTCTAGGCGCTCATGGCTCTATTGAAAAGCTTTGGGAAGCCGCTCAACAGGTCTGGTCTGAATTTACCGAGGAGGACATCCAGAAATATACTTCGTCCATGCCTGATTGTGTTTATAATCTTATAGCCGCCAGTGGCGGCATAGCGATTACTGTTAGGCGCAAGACTAGAGGGTAACAGCCAAGGTCACTGGGTGACAACTGCTAGGACTAGGAGAATGAACCACGTAGATTCTGGCCTGCAAGAGCGCAAGCACAAAAGGCTTATATACAGGCTTGGGTTGTAAACATAGACAAATAGAAGAGGTGGGTCGTAAGAAGCCAATGTGGGTCAGTGAGTCATGGTAGCGTCGTAAGGTCTCGGAGATCCAAGATATGAGTAACTAGGAATCAAGTAAGCAGGTCAATGATGCGTGAACGCGGACACATGAGTTACACGAATGAGACAAATGAGCGCAGAGTCGTAAACGTAAAACGAGAGCTAAATACGTCGGATAAAAGCAGGGGAAAAAATGTAAGGCGTGTCCAAAGGTAAAAGCAATATAGTGCCTCAGTCACAGTCACGTTGTCGCGCGCGCTTCTGAAATCATAAGAAAATAGGATGCGCAGTGATGAACCTGGGTGGCAGGCCGGGCCAGTCTGGTAGTATAGAACCTTGTCGCTTAACTCTGATGAAAATGGAACACTCCTGATTACCTGTCTAACTTCTGGCGCCCAGGGCGATCTTGTGAATATTGCCACCCCAGTTCTGGTTTGTACGTCAAACAAAATGATGAGCGCTTAAAAGACAGCACATCGCAACCGGCTCTTATCCTCAACGCCCTCGATGCCACCGCCCGAGTCACCGCCAGGCTCCCCAGACTCCAATATGGCCCTCGTGGAATCGCTACCCTCCAGCCTTGGTTCATCGCCTGCCTCATCCCGGTCAGGCAGTCTGCATCGTCCAACCAGCAGCGTCAGCATTACCCTAGGCGTTACGCTAGACGACCAGTCCACGCACGTTCCTACCCCGGTCCAGCACATCTTCTGCGCTACTCTCATCATCCCATTGGGCGAGGCGCTCTTCATTCTGTTCCTCAACTTCCTGCGCGACAGGCGCGGAAATTGCCAGCCGCTCATCTGGATCTTGAGCGACTTCAGCCGTTCTCTTGTCGATATCAAGACTGAAATACGCCTGCGTCAGAACAAGTACACAGAGTGCTATGCGGTCGTGCAGCGCTTCATTGCTCGGGACGACGAATCGGTATTGTTCCAGGTGAAGCTGGTTGGATGGAATACGGCTTGGGGCTGGCGCGCACCAAATGAGGAGGGCCAGCTGGTTGCCTATGTGCTGGTAGCACTGGAGAATTGCACCGCACACTACCAGGACCCCGACCGCTTCGCGTACTTCAAGGCTCCTACCTCCCTCATCAACTACACGTACACCATCGCAGAGCGGGTCACTGCCGCCAACACAAAGGAGGAGGTCCTGCGTCTCCCCAACGACTCGGTCACTAACGCTCTTCACGAGAGCTTCGTGATGGAGCCAGACCTCAAGTACTTCTACCGCGGGCAAGGCACAGGCGTTGTGATGACCGAGGAGGACCACCGGACAACGGTGAAGTCGGACTTAGGCCCCATCCCACCGGACTTCAACCCTCAGGCCAGCCATGTACGTTACACCAGCCAGTCGCCAACATGCATAAGTCACTCACAAAACTAGTACAGGCTCCATACCTCCTCCGCTTCGCCAAGTTTGAGCTGGGCGCAGCCCTTCGAGCGTCTCAAGCTCCCGGGATCCCCCTCTCTCAGCCCGTCTGCTTCGGCTCCACTGCAGCGTTGCAAAGCACATGAGGATCTCGCAAGCCTGTGGGATCAAGGAAGGGAAGGGAGACCAGCCCGAGGACGTGGGCCCGTTCGTGTTAAACCCCCTCCGTACTCCCCTTTTCTTTGAAACTCCGCACCATCGTCATGTCTTAGATCCTGTTGTCGCCCAATCCTGTCCCGATCGTTCCGCCCAGCTGCTACTCCGCCCCCTGCCCTACCTGTCTTACGCTGTCCATCATCCCCTATCACCACGAATATACCTATCTTGACTTGCGGCAAAGCGCCCAACGTGGGAGATTGGAAATGAGAGCGTGCGAAGAGATGCAGGACGGACCGGAGATCCGTAGTATCAGCAGGAATGTTCCGGAAGCATTTAGGAGCGTAGGAGGGTTGTAATCAGTACTTGGAGGACAGTAGAATGATACGGAAGGAACTAGGAAGATCTGGACTGGAGAAAGGTAGAATAGTATAAATAGCCCGTAGTAGTTGTAGCAAGAAAGCAAGCAAGTTTTACTCGAATTTACGATCGATCACGCACTAGCCATCTAGTGGTTCAATCCAGCTGCCAGCTCGCCTCGCATCGATAACTAGGCCACGATCACCAACTAAGGTGCCGATAAGCTCAGCCACTCCACCGAAGGACAAGCGCTGCTGTTATCGACGACCTTATTGAAGATCTGCACCCGTTTCGACCGACGCCGTTCGCACCTGTTGACGCTAGTACTCCGTGCCGACTGAACGATCTCATAGACGTACCTACGCTGGTCGTGTACTGTCTATCTACTGTTCTGTTTACGACTTCGACTCTGACCCGACTTTTGGAGAATACGCCGGTCGTATCTCTTTATTCTACGATTTACTGTTGTACGCTACGATACGAGTCCTCGAGTCGATCCTCTAGACACCTACGTACAGTAGCAATTCACGTTCGTTACCCCTCAAAGGAAGGACCATCTCCCCTACGAACCACCGGGAACGTCTGGGAAACCTGTGAAACCCGACTTACCTGGCGAGCGACTTTTCCTGATTCGCACTAAGCTCGGCCAACCTCTACGTCACCCCACTTCGCTCGACAGCATCACTTTCTTTGCTGTACCGCCACAAGTGGTGACCACCGCAGGGGGATCTGATTAGTATCTTTCTTTCTTTGTAACGACAAGCGACGCAGGCGTCGCTAGCTACTCAAAATCAACGTGTCTCACTTCTCGCACTCCCCGTCGTTGGACTCGAACTTTTCCGACGTTTCGCTAGACGAGCATATCCGAAATCTGTCCATTCCTAGCTCGATAATGGCTACGAATACGCATACCCGAAGCCGCAGCCAGTCTGCCGGCCCCTCGTATGTTCACATAGAAGACGAGGTAGTCTTCCCATTGCCCGTTACCGACGCGTCCACGAATCACGGACCCCCGCCTCGGGTAACCGACAGCACCGAAGAACCCGTGATGGTGGACCAGAACCAAGAGCACGCCTGGTTCTGGCCCGACATCTCGACGCCACCCGTGCAAGCCGCACAAGTGCGCGTACAGGCTCCACCCACGCCCGGTCCGTCTCGAAGGACCCACGTCAACGACCAAGCGCGTCGCGAGCACCAGGCCGTATACGAGCGACAAAGCCGTACCCGTCCTGAGCCGCCACGACACACGCCAGCCGTCGTCCCAGACGATGAGCTGTACGGGTTCGAAATACTCGAGGAGCCGCCTCGAAGGAGACGCCAAACGGGTGGACGAACCGAACCAGTCCCGCGGGAGCGAGCACCTCGCCGGGCCGGGCAATACGCAGCCCATCAGCGGCGGCAAGATGGAGGCTACAGCAGCAACTCCAGCGGGGACGATGTCCGCCGAACCTTCCCGAGGCCGAGTCAGCCAGACTACTCGTCTGAATCAGACGACGACGTACCTCGACGACCCCACCGAGGGCGTAGAACTTCGCGCCGGCGCGTCCCTCCTTCACGACTGATCACCGACCTGCCACTACCGGGATCAAAGCGCGCTCCTACACGTTTTACTGGAAGATTCGACAACGTTTCGAGTTGGCTGGAGCTCTACGAAGACATGTGCGCTAAGTATGGCGTGACCGACCCGGACCAGATGTGTCGAGGACTTACTCGGTACTGTACCAGGAAGGTACGCGAAGTAATCGAGGCCATCCCCGCCTATCAGAACCGAGACTGGCCACGTCTGTACCAGGAGATCGAGCACCTGTACGACGCTGACTTCTACGATGAGCAGTACCAAGTTTCCGACCTGCAAGAGTTCGTGGATAAGATGGTCACACGGAAGATGGGGAAGCTTAGCTCCTACAAGAAATACTCACGAGAGTTCATTCGTCGCGCCGGACGGATGAAGAACAACGGCACCATCTCCGAGTACGACTACTTGAGGTTCTTCTGGATGGGCATCAACCCGAACTTGCGCAAGGACGTGCGCGACCATCTCGTTCTGACGTATCCCAACCACAACAAGAAGCGGCCGTGGTCCATTGAGCAGATAAACGAGATGGTCGGGGTGCTGCTTCGTCGCGGCGCGTTCGATAACATCTTGCAAGATGACCTGGACGACGATAGCGAAGTGCCGGCTTCAGAAGAGGAATCGAGTGCTAGTGGAAGCGACGACGAGAAGGAGTCAGACAAATCAAAGAAGAAGAAGAAATCGAAGGTGGTCGAACGCACTCGAAAGACTCCAAGCGCTCGCGTAGCCACCGTGCGAGCGGACTCCCTCGCCGCAGCCACAGAGAAGCTGGACCGCCGTAATCGACGCGAAGTGGAGGACCTGGTCGCCGAGATGGCCCCTCTACCGCGAACTGATCCTTCCTACGCAGTGCTGTACTACAAGGCAGCAACGCGCGACGAGACGATTAAGCAATTCTGGCCACGGCCGATCACCGACGCAGACGACGTACCTGGAGCAGCGAAAGGGAAGACCGCGAAGGGATTCCTCGCCCAGAGCTATGCGGCCACAGCGAACGCAGAACAGCCGCGAGACGCACCGCCTCATCAGCAGCGTACGACATGGCAGCAGCGCAGCTCTAACACCGACCCGGATTGCTACGGATGCGGAGACCCCGGACACCGCTTACAGCAATGTCCCGAAGTGAATGATCTCCTACAACGGAAGATCATTCAGTATCAGAACGGACGGCTAGCACATGCAAACGGCGCACCGATCCGGAGACGAGTTGGCGAAAAGATAGCCCAGGCGGCAAGACGTGAGCACGCGGCTCACAACTCAGGGAGCACGGCCGAGAAGGTATCGGCCGCCGTGTCGAACTACGTCGGGCTTGTCGCCAGCTGGGAATCCTCCGAGGATGCGGACAGCGGTTCTGAGGACGAAGCAGAAGGCGGATTCGTAGGAATGGCCGCGATCCAGGATGCAAGTGATTCAGATGATCTGGAAGACGAGATTAGTGCCATGGTATTCGAGGCGACTGAAGCCACCACAACGAAGAAAAAGAAATACGCACCTGGAGCATCCGGGCACCGCACCCGATCCTCTACGGGAACAGCGACGCGTAAGCCGGCGAAGGACCTCGAAGAATTCGAGATGGCGGCAAGAAAGAAGTCCGGGCGTACGACATCGCGTATACCCGGCGAGACGCGCGCACATCCGCGATCAACTGGGAACAAAGGGAAGGCCAGAGATGGATCCGGAGAGCAGAAGACCACGAGGTTCGCAAATGTCGAGGTCCAGCAAGTCCCTAGCGCAGAAGACGTCCTGATGGTAGACCCAGAAAACGACGAGAATTTTCTGGATGACATGGAGGCTATAGACGAATTATCAGATTCGTTTGATCCTATGCCGGTCACAGGAGAGTCACATACCGAGAAGGTCGACGAGGGTGCACAAACCCAGAGAGCGGCGCAACGCGCAGCGGAAATCCGGAGAGAGAGAGCCCGCGAGGTGGAGGATGGTGGCGAACCAGAGCCAAAGCCCAAGTCGCGTCCGCGCGTGAGTGCCATCTCGGCAACGGCCGACTGCGACTCTGCCTACGACGCGTTTCTGGACAAGACGCTGAACATCTCACTCCGCGACCTCATCGTTCTCTCCGACTATGTGCAGAACAGGTTAGTCAAGGACTGCAAGAAGAAATCGGGGGACGTAGCTAAATCAATCCCGAAGGTACTGGCGACCAAGCTACTAGCCCGCGGATTTGCGTCAATGGGACGATCGCCCGCGCGCGGCGAGCTACTCGAGTTCGAAGTGGTCTGTAACAACTGACGGGTACGCGCGCTGCTCGATACGGGTTCGCAACTTAACTTAATTGCGGGCACTGTGGCTGATAAGTGCATCACTCAGGTAGTGAATCGACGCGAAAAGATCTCGTTGGAGGTCGCCCACGGCGAAACGGTGGACTTACACGGGCTAGTACAAGACGTGCCACTCGCGCTAGGCGGCGCAATCCATACGCAGGCAAGTTTCTACCGTATGGATCACCCCGTCAATTACCAACTACTGCTAGGCAGACCCTGGCAGCGCAGCAACATGGTGAATATCGAAGAACGCCAAAACGGTACGTACCTGGTGTTCCGCGACGGCCAAGACAGAATAACTTATGATATTCTGGTGACGCCAGTCGACCGCGACACGGTGTATGGCAGGGACGGGAAGATGAAGGTTGATGGCGCAGCCCAGTCAAACCTTGTACGAGTGGCGCGCCACAACCCCCGGAACTTGGACGAGGAGGCCTGTGACAGCCCGAACGGCTCGGCGAACGACTCCAGCGCCGAAAGTTCGCCCGTCAATTCGGACAGCAATATTCTTGACGACGACCTGGCTTACGGGAAGCGCACCTACCGTATAAAAGCTCGTCCAGGCGAGCAGTGGAAACCCATCATCCACTCCTCCTCGAGTCGACGCAGGCCGCCGACTCTACTCCAGCCTTCTCCGCCTTCGCTCGCACTGCCGGTCAGTGCGCCTACCTTCGACCTTCACCGCCTCGAGTCTGCCGACCGCGCGCCAACACGCCCGCCTCGACAAGCATCTCCTCGACCTTCAAGATTTCCGCCACGCACGCGCTCTCGCTGGACGACAGCGCCCTTCTCCTTCTCCTCGTTACCTACCTACTCCTTCTCAACTATGCTCTCGGTGGCAGACTGGTTGCTGGGCTCGCGTCGCGCCTTCGACAACGACCCTACGGACCACGAGGCCGTCCGTTCAGGGGACCACGTCAACGCCGCCCGTTCGACGGATATCCTGGCGAGGTGCTCTGACAGCCGTGTCGACCCGCCGCGCGGCCTAACTGCCATCTACAACTTGGCGATGAGCGTATTCTCCCCGCGTGGCTTCCAACTTTCGGGCGGTACCTTCTGCGACCCTGCAACAGGCGAGACCAAGAGCATCGCCGAGTACGCGCTCATCAACCCGGTCTTTGGCTACGAGGACGACTCTACGGATATCGAGAGCGGCACCGTCTGGACAGCCTACGCGGGTAGCCGGCTCAACATCGACGCTCCCGACCGTGCCCGCACCGTCGTGCACAACCGCGCCATCCTGTACGTGCAGTGCATCGGGTCTGGTGTTCCCGCCACGGTAGAACGCACGCCGGGCACGCAGTTGTCGATCCTAGGGCCCGACGACGTCCTGCCACGGGTAGGCGAGCCGCTGCCTAGCTTCTTCCCGCACTTTGTCCAGCACAACCCGTCTATCGAAACGGCACCGACGGACCGCTCGTTCGAGAATATCATAGCGCTCCTTCAGCACGCTCTCGCCCGCGACCCCGGAACTTCATCAAACATTCTGTTCGTGGGATTGCGTCACTCGTTCTCCGCGGAACCGTCGCGGGTTATCAATGGGCTTGAGGCTCTCGACATCATGATTCCCGCTGGCTCGGTAATCCACCAACGCGGCGAATGGACGGCGGCCATGCCTCACGATGGCTGCTATGCTCGCCTAATCCGTACGAGCGAGCTGGCGCCCACGGTTCGCCACTACCTGCTCAGTCCGTTCCCGGCTCCCAACGGCGCGTCGCTGCAAGTACCCGACTATCTCGTGCAGAACCTGCGGCGAGGTGAGCTTGCAACCCCGCGCCTCGACCTTGAACTCACGTCCCGCCCAGTTCCCGCTGCACGACGCAACGACTACTACTACAACCGCGTCATGAACAGCGAGTACTCGATGTGGGGAGTGGCCTCGCCCTATGACGAAACCCAGATAGCGCCCAGGTACGAATCGTACGAACCTCAGCCACGCGCACAGTTCCCTGATCGTCTGCCAAACTATAGTACGCAGAAGATCATCGAGGGATACACGCCCCTGAAGAAGGATACGGCTGCGCTTAACCCATCGGGCGGATCAGTGGAAGACCCAGGTATGCTATGGCTGCTTACCGATCCCATTTCGGTCAGACGGCTGATACTGCCGCCAGAAATGATGGTCGAATCGGAGCCGTGCACGCCCAAGCTCTTCGAGCAGCCGCTGAGCCGAGATCTTCGCTCGCGCGTCGGAGCCTCCACCGACTGGGATACTGTTCCGCTGAGCCATCCGCACAACCCCCTCAAGCTCGGACCCTTCCCACGCGTGCTGCAGCAGTGGCTGGATGACGAGGACCTTGGGCTCAACATCTCTCTGCGGGTGATGCTCTTGGTCATCAGTGACCGCTACGCGCTGTGGCCTTCCAAACGAACTTTCCAGTGGGTCGCCAACGACGCCGTCAACCCGGATGGCATCATCGCGCTTGTGTACCAGGCAAACCGGCTCTACGACCTCCACCTGCGCAACCTACCGGAGTACTACAACGACGACACGTACCGGTTGATCAAGAGCCAGATCACGAGCATCGCCCTCCGCGCGGGAGTCGCTCTCATCTACTACGACAAGGATCTCACTCTCGAGCTGATGGACAAGATCACCGCAGCTGTTCCGGACTTCGCCCATGACTTGCACGGGTACATCGACCACGTCAACTCGATGAGCCCGCTGTACCAGTCCAGCGCCGAGCGCTCCCGTATCGCCTCAGCACCTACGAACAGCGTCTTTGCGCTGGACGCATTTACGGCCGACCACGAGATGCCACGCCCGTCGCAGTGGAGCAGCTCAAGCTCTGATGATGGAGGGTCGGTCTACTCTCCAGAATCGGCAAGTTCGGGCGACGAGTCGTTGAGGTTGATCATGCCGGAAGCGGAGGGAGAAGGAGATGAGGATATGGCGGACGAATCAAGGACTGGGACCGTGGAGGTAAACAACGCGCTACCATCACCACCACCGCCCACACTCACGTCTTCGCAGAGCTTCGAGCTTGTCGAGATGGCACCGGTCACGCCCGCGCCCGCTCAGTTTGCCCGAGATCGCGAGGTAGGCGATTGGCTCGATGACATCTTCCGACAAGTCACTGAGCAACTGCAGGCCGAACTGGCAGCGGACCCGGCGCGTGCCCGTTCTGCGTCGCCCTCACCTTCGACTTCCCTCGGAGACGATCGGGCCAAGCTGTCCCCCGTCGCGTCGTATCTCCCCACTCCCAGCTCAACGCCACCGCCACCTCCAAACGCCGAGCGGAGCTCCTCTCGGGAGACCGAGCACGGCCAATCCTTTCGTGCCCAAGACTCCGCCACCGAGCACGCCGAGCACGCCACTGTTCCCGTTCCACAACGAAGCGAACCTACCGACGCCACTTCGCAGGGAGCTGCCACCGTGGGAACAGAGGATGCAGAACTGGAGGAAGTCGATCCCTCTACCCCTTCCACTCCCGCCGAGGAACCTGACCTCGTATACGAAGCCGACCCTGCGATCAACAGGTATCTATGCGACGCCATCGGGTCGTGCACCAACGAGGAGTTTAGACGGGAGTTGGGCGCTCGAATCGGATCCGTGCAGGTGCGGCTGTACGAGCAGCGAGAGCGGGAGCGCGAGGGAATGGAGATTCAAGGGCCACCGCATTCAGCTAGCGCTGGAGCTCCGGCTGCCGACACTGTACCTTCCATCGCGACCCGCACCACCGACGCAGGACCCTATCGGCCGAACTGCGGTCAGCCCTACGCCCTTCAACGCCTCGATGACCCCAACAACTTTATTACTGGCGGTGTCGGCCTTGATTATCTTCCTGATGAGCTGGTCAGTGCTGTGGCTGACCGCCGCGATTCGATCAACGCTGTCGACCTTATCATCGTGCTCCGCGACGAGATAGGGCATATCGAGTTGAAGGGTTGGACGAGACTTGAACGATTCACGGCGCACTTCCTCCACCGGTTGGACCACTCGCTCTTCCAATCCGCCACTCTCGCCGACGACTTAAGGGCCATTCAGCGCGAGTACGTGTACTATGTTGGAGACCCGGACGAACTCTTCTTGGATACGCTCGCGGCCCTGCGCACTCGAGTTCGGCACACGCGGGAATGGTCAATGGACTGCCCGCCAAACCCAGCTATGCGGGACCCGCCCCGGGTTCGCCCTACTGCTCCTGCACCGTCCACTACACGCGAGGTGGGCATCAAGCTTAGTCCGCCGCCCCCCGTGGCAGCATCATCGACTCCGTCCAGCCTCCCTTCGCTCGAAACCATCGACGACACCTCGGAAACCGAAGAATGGACCACCGACGACTCGGATAGCGACATGGATCTCTCGGAAGAAGACGAGGAACCCGTCACGCCACCACCGACCAAGGCCGAACCTGTGCCACAGCGCGAATCCGTCAAGATCGTATCGCCAACGCCTCGCCTTACGTCCCCGCTCTCCCGCTTCAGGCTCAACCCGCACGCGGCCGTCTTTGTGCCTCAGGTCAGCCCGGTGCGCGTCTACACTGTGCGAGTACGGTCCCCGGTCGAGCGTGAAGTCATCGAAATCTCGTCGGACTCCAGTTCGGACAAGCCGTACGTCTCACCATCCTCGAAGTGGCGGCCCTTTCCTAACGAACCAACCACCAGCACGGACCCTAGCCCGGAATCGACTAGCCCAGCGCCGTCCGTCGCGGTGGGTGCACTTCCGCCGCGGGAAGAACGCGAGCCGCTCTTCATCAGCCTCCGGAAGGTCAACTTGGACGGATCAAGTACCCCCAGCTCTGCCAGCTCGCGCTCGAGCGAACAGGCACTCGAGGAGGGCGAAATCGAAGAAGGAAAGGAGATCCAACGCCCAAGGTACGCGCCCCAGAGCTTTCGGCCCTTTCGGTCCTTTCGATCCTTTCGTAACTCACAGAACACCAGCCAGGGAGGCCGCAATGGCTCTTCTCCCGACCGCGCCGCCACCCGTTACAACCTCCGCCCGTATCCCGCACGAGGAAGCGCGCCGGGACTGTAGTTGACTTGGTGATTAGCTGATTAGATGGCTATAGCCAGTGCATGGCTGTTAGCTGAGCCACAGCTAAAAACTAATCAGCTTCCAGCAACAAATAATGCCCTTATAAATGAATAAATCTAATGGTATTGATGGATGAAGCAATAAATGGTGCCTGGGCTAAAGTACGGCATATGCCGAGGGTAGGAAAAGCATTAGATTTAATGAATAATGGGCCTGGGAACCCAGGCCTTGTTCGGCACCTCCCGGGCTGGCCCCTGATGGCCCCTTCGGCCCGCGGGCTGCTCGGCGGTGCCTGCTGGCCATCCCGCCATCAATCCGCGCCCCTGCCATC